GCGTCGCGTTCGCACCGCGGAGAAGAAGTTTGAGGTATTCAAGTTGAGAAACTTGACAGGGGGCTGAAAGAAGCGTTCGTCATTGCAATGCTGCAATTGGAAGCATGTCAAAGTAGACGCCGGTGCACAGTTCGAAATGATCCCCGCACTCTTGACTTGCGTTGTCATCCGCTAATATGATGAACCAATTTTTATCTGGATTGTGATCTCGACAACGTCAAAAGCTCCGTCCGTGAGTAAGGTGGAAGGCCCGCGGCTCGCAAACGTTCGAAGACAATGTGGGCTGTGTACTTCATGCGGTACCCACTTCATGTCCGGACGATTTCATTTTTGTCCCGGAAACGTCGAGCCTGCCCGTTATGGTAACATTGTAATCGGAAACGTAGATCACGACAGGCAGGGGATTTCATCTTTCCGACGTCCGACACAGAAAGACTTGTAAATCGGAACGAGAATCAAACCGGTGGGTGACGCTCTCTACCACGAGCCCAGCGAGGATGTCCATCCGTCTAGCGGAAGATTATTCCGCGAATTAACCGCAGCATCGGACAAATCCAGCTCAACATCGCGTTGAATAGATTCAAACGGACAGCATACGCCCCGAATGGTTTCGCTGCAAGGGGTTCGCCATGGGACTTCCTAAGAGAAGATTCTATGAATTCAATACCGGAAAACCCCCCGAGTTTCGAAAGATTGTCCTCGTGAGGTCGCTGTCGAACTCGCTCGCTCGCTCCCAAGGCAGATGGGACCCGTTGCTCGGACAACTTTCTGCATAGACGGGTAGTCGATCAGATAGATGACGACCGTGGCTCGGGGTCTTTGTGTATAGTTTACAATGGTTTTCACCTTGAAGTCACGCTTCCCTCCGTGTGTCGAGAGAAAACCTTCATCCGGACTGAAGCCGCTGTGTGTATAATTGTCAAGTTCTCCTCTTCGAAGCATCGGATATCTCCGCGCGAATCTAATAGCCGAGATGCGGCGGACCCATGTAGAGCGTTTCCTTTCGCAGGAGTTGTTTTGCTTTTCCAAAGCTACCCACGCCAGCGACTCGTGGATTTGGGGACGAAAGCTCTTTTTGACTCCGCAATTCATTTTGATGATGAAACGGCGGTATCATCACCTGGGATGGCACTGCTTGCATCATACGTGAAGCTCAGCCGCGGAATGAATGGGAAAGTGAATGAATACTGACTGCGCTCGAAGAATTTTCGCTCATTAAATCGCGGATGTGCGCCTTTCTCATTTGGCTTGCACTGTGGTCGGGCGATCCGACCGAGATTCGGCGGTCGACGGAACCTCAGTAGTGCATTAGCTCTTTCTGAAGGGAATATGAGGTCAGATACGCCTCCCCCCGCACCAGGCATCCATGTCAGTGAAGATCGAGCTTTGGCTCGTAGGCAAATGCGCGATCAACGATTAGGTAATAAATGAGTAGTCTGTTTCTGCATCGAGGGAAGGATTGGAGAGTGTTGAGAGAATGAGGGCAGAGGTTGAGCTGCTCCACGTACGGGGGCTGTTTCGCTATTTCGTTCGACTATGGCTCGCACTCGCTTGTCTTCTTCGTAGTCATTGAAGAATGAATGGGAGCGCAGAAAAATGGACGGATTGGTAAAAGATTGTGGATGAAGAAACCGAGCAAGATAGACAAATAGATCGCGTTGCTTCAGAAGCCGCAAGATTGGACGCTGGTAAACGCGATATTGTATTCGCGGCCATCATCTGAGAGTGGAACGGAGCTTGTGCGATAATCTCGCGCGAGCAGAATACCGCTATCCAGGGCGAGCTCAAGGTTCCGCGTGACCAGAGCCCCCCATGAGCAATGTATAGCATTTGCTGCCATTGACAGAAAACTTCATTCAGGAATCGGAGAAAAAGACGGTATTTATAGATCCAGGGTTCTGACCCGAAGTCTTGTACATTTCTGGGTAACATGTACCCGGGCGAGAAATCTGTCCAAATTTCCATGTGGAAACACTTCGGTTGATGATTCCAGATGTGGCTCAGAAAATTTTCATGGGTAGAAAAAAAATTGTTACTTTGTTCCCGGTATGAGTTCTCAGGCGCGGTTTCCGACAAGGGTGTCTGGCGAGCCCCGCGAGGGTACATGACCCGCGAGCAATCCCCTCGGCCGGCGGTTCACTAGGCCGACAGCGACGACTCTCCGACAAGTCGCTTCAGGAGTCCGCGAGCAACCATTTTGTACTGAGCTCATCTGGGCTCTGATCGCATGGAAATATCGCTCGCCGGAAATATTCCACACAGTTTTGGGGAAACGGGAACATGTTCGATATCTTCGATTGAGTCCGGCCTGAATGATGTTGCAGGGTCCATTTCGCCTGCGTGCGATCGACGGTGCCGTTTTTCTCGAGTGTTGGAATTTTCGTCGCTCTGCGGTCCATTCGGGAGTGGGCGCGGTATTCATCCAGCGAACGCGTCAGCGAGTCAACTACAAAAACGATTTCCGCGCTGAAACTCGCGCGTCACCACGAGTTTCAGAGGCTTTTTCCCTTTAGTGTCGTAAGTAACGAGGGCTTGTTGAAAGTTCTCTGTCCAGAACTCGAAATGTAAACACGAGAATGTGGTAACTCAAACGGGAAAAAACTTGAGACAACATCCGATAGATTCGCAAAAACTTTCGTCTTCCCGGCGGCGGGGGAAAAAGGAATAAGAAGGAAAAACTCGCTGTTTGTCTAAACTCCTCAAAAACCTACCAAATGAAACCAACACCTTGACGTCGATCTTTTGACAACTGTGGCGGACTCATGTTTCCGAAACGTCTTTTCTTCACACCACGACTCGCTCTTCAGCCATGTCGTACGCAGCGAACGATCATGAGGAATCACCATGCGAGCATCGTCCGCATGCATAATGCCTGATACCACTTCCTTCGTCACCTCTTGGTGATAAATCAATTCCTGCCGGATTCATACGTCCGGATATCTGAAGGAAACTAGGAGTAGGGCAGACTTTTCCGAGCCGGTATTTCCCGGCGGAAAAACGATCGGGAAGTCTACCTACATAATGCTCGACTATGGTTCGACAAGATGCCTTTGCACCGGAGATCGCAAGCGGTTCGCCCCTCTTGCTCGGCGGCTCCCACGGCCAACAATGTCGCTGAGATTGTTTTTACGCATCGAGCTCATTACGGAGGCGGTATTCATTTTTGCCGTGTATCCGTCGGAACGATGTCGCCGTGGGATATATTGGACACTTCTCCCGCTTGTTTGTATCCTGTTTTTTTTACCGAGGTGATATTATCTCCAAACTTCCACAACCAAGAAATATTTTTCTGCAGTAATACGGACCAAGCTCCGTTCCAGCATTAAGTCGGTATGGCAAATGAGAGCATCGACATTGAACGCCGTGATGGTTCCTCGGGTTTTATTTTTTCTTACACTTCCATTTGAATTCTCAATACCCCCCGACAACTGTTCCGATCGCGCCTTCGGCCCGTACAGCGTCGCTCGCGCTCATATCCGTACAGCGTCGCTCGCGCTCATATTTTCAGGGCCGGAACCTCGCTTACCTCTGCGAGGGGCTGGACCAAATAATGTCTCCGGAATCACCCCTCTTTCAATGCACTCTGGGCGCTTTTCTTCGCTTCAGGCATTCGCGGAGATCAGCGTACGAGTCTATTACACCAGTTCAAACAGACTGACGGCGATCAGACGCTTTTAAGCAATGTAAATACGTTCACAAGTCGGAAACGCAAATGTCGCCGCGGAACCAGCGGAAGAAATGAGCGGTGGTAGACAGCTATTTTTCCCTGAGCAGGGAGACCTGTAACCCGGGTCACGTTATTTTTGCCGATTTCCACCACGAAAAGACGAAAGGAAAAATACGGATTTCCAGCCGACATCGAGCAAACAGCAAAGCTGCCTGGATCCACTGGCTCAGTGGCCGCCTGATCGCTCGCCGCCTGCTCCGAGGGATAGGAAGAAAGCCGAAGCGTCGATCGTTGATGATTCTGAATGTTTCGCCATGTAAATACACAAGCCTCATATTACATCGAGTTGGTCGGAACTATTCGAACGATTTCGTCTATCTTCTTCTCACATCTCAATGGATATGTCGAGGGTGATGGCAGACATTACGATTATCGTATGTTCCTTTCACATTACCGTCAAAATCGACGATTGCGACGAACACTGACGTCGTCAATGTTCTCATCGACCGAAACTCTCGACGAACACGTCTTTTGTCGGTCGGCCGAATCATTTGATTGATTCACCATCGCTTTTCGTTACTCTTGTCCACTTGCGCGCCGCTGCTGAGGAATGCTAGTACAGTCGAACGAATTCCTGCTCGTATACAGAATCCTCTTCGCGCTTCGATCGAGGACTAAGGTGTATGACACGATGGGTACTTAGGCTCCTTTCCGATTCCGGTCTGTCAACGAGTGACCAGCTCCTGGTATCCGGAGCGATACAAGACCATGCGATCGATTACGGGGAAATGCTTTACTACGAAACCCCTCAATCCGGACAATCGACGATTCTTTAGCTGGCTCATGTCTCGAAAGAGTCTTGTCATGCTGAGCTGCCATCTTCGGATCTATTTATGGGTGTCTTTCTTGAACTGACACCCAAAAGAAACCAGTTCCTAATCTGATTTTCTCGATATTCTCTCTTCAAATACGTCGGCTTCTCATTATTTACCATTCCCACATAAGGAATCGGACATTAAGTACCACCGCTGGGTGACATTTCCGATTTGGCCACCTGAGCTCCGTTTCTTTCGGGGTATCACTTCTTACGAACCACTAGGATATGGAATCCATGCCGCTTGGCAGGTATTCTTCGAACTTGACGGATTTGCGCAAGCAGGTGGGCTTATCTAAAAAGCGCAATTCCCGATATCGTTCCGGCTCTTCCGAATTCGGCAGACATGACTTACGGCTGTCAATGTATCGGACAACACATAGGTAATAGGTACATAGGATGCGACTCAGAAATTGAGCGGCGACGCCCGCGCGAGCGGAGGCCTTAATGGAGACTCACCGGGTGAATCCTTGGTGTCACCGAGCCAGTGGGGTTGGAAGAAGACTACGCAGTCTATGATACAGAAGCACACGCTGAAAACGCCCCAGAGAACGGCTATGGCTCTGGAGTTTTTCATTTCGACCTTGAGGTCGTCACTTTCTGTGCGATACAGAGGCGAATTGTTTGAATAGCGATCGTGTTGCCACATGTTCATGTCTGATATTGAAGTCTGCTCGCAGTTCCTTCGGACTGGATTTCCCGCACGAGAGTTTCTGCAGATTCCGTTGAGGTAGCCCACTGCCCGGGCGAGAAAGTCGTTATTCACCGCTGAGTTGAATCCCTTGCTTCACTCTGATCAATCCGTGGGCTTATTGGGTGACACCTGAAAGAAAAGGGAATCTTAAAACTTTGGAAAGATCGCGTAGCTCACGGTTGGACTGGGAAGAATGTGAGCCGAAAAAACGCATCTCCCCCTCGACGAGATCACATCGAATTCAGGAAGCGGGCCTCCCACCCCGCATTATCTTCAAAAAAGATATCGGTTGCCTTCGCTTGTGTTGGACATGCCCGAGATGTCGCCGACCGTCCGAAAACGGGGTCCAGCGTTTTTCTCGGCTCCGGCTCTCTGCGTTCGGACGCTCTTTTCCTTTATCCAAGGGCTGGACATCGACAGCTTCTGCTGCGACTATCCCCCTTATGTCTACTTTCGGCTATTTTTCTGTTTGTGTGTGGTTGACCGATTTAGGAATCGTGCCGCTCAAACGGGTCGAATTCCGTCACGATTTGAAGCTTTACACACTTTGTTTTGCGTTCAGGCCAGGGCACCTGTTCACGAGATGTTTTCGGAACAAGCAAGAAATCATCGAAAACCAATCAACTGACGCACCAGTCTGGGGACATCTTTCAGCCTGGAGAATTTCGTCGCAGTGCAGCTTCTCGATCGCCTTCATTGCCGGCGCTACATTTCTGGCGTTCGCGGGCGTGTCGCGAGGAAAATTGATTAGAGGAACTGAAATCTTTGTAGAAACAGCTGGCATGAGCTCTCGTAAAAAAGTGACTACACCCTTCGTGACGACATTCGAATCGAATATCTCCGGCTTGTTTATGTAGACGGCTGTTATCGATTCAGATTCGCACCTTGAGAATAGTGTATATTCACAATTGATATGGAGCAGCTGGGATCTTTGGCAAAGTGGATTCTGATTCGAGAAAGTGTTGGCTCCGTATCAAAAGCACTTCGGGTTTAACCGCGGATCTTTCCCTGCTTGAATCGAATCTAGGTACCTCTACAGATCTTGATCGATAAATCACCCATCGAGAGATCACGTAAATTGCAGCGGAGATCGAAATTTCGGCGTATTCAACCCGAACTCGTCTCCTTTCCCTGGAGAGAAACCGATGGGGACATACCGCTCATCTCTTTCCGCGGCTTTTCCCTGCGGGGGCAGCCGGACACCTCTCAGAGGAAGTCGACGTTGTTCGGCATTCGAAACGGCCCCTTTTTACTTCCATGGCCGGAGCCGGTCGGTGGCATCCGCCCCCGAGGGTACGGTCGAGGGCTCCGGCAAGTCGGCTCCTCCCTCGACGCTCTCCATACGGCGAAGATCGCTAGAGCTTCGACCTGTTCTTGAAAGATCGCTCACGCCGTAAGAACGCGTTCGGAGATGTCAACAGCGTTCCTGAGCGGCGTTGTTCAATGTTCAATTATTCCTTCACGGATCCAGCCTCGGTTCTCAGAAGGGGGCTGATCATCCAGGTTTTTAGCAGAGACAATTAAAAGTGCGATCATTTCGAGAAGAATAAATTGAAATCTGAGACATCTATATGCCGACCCTTTGCTAAGGATTACCGACGAGTCGAGCTTACGCGAAAAGCATCGCAAGCTTGATAACAGTCATTAGCGATGGACGCTTAGCGAGAGAAGGACGAGGAAAAATGAGAAATCCCTTGTGCTTCCTGAAAACCATCAGATGAGACGCAGCTAGAACAGATGAAGGGTACTAGGTAGTACTTCACGTAATTTTTTTTCTATTAAGAGCGCTGGGCTGCGGCGCTGTTTAATTACCACAAAAAGGTGCGACGCTCCAAGCATCGCGGGGCTTTTTATGACGGCTATTCTCTGATTTTTTCCTCGCCTTCCCCCTGTTGCGGATCCTACAGCCACTCTTCCCCCGACCGATGTTTCGATCAAGAGATACCCGACACCAGATAACTTTCACTCACTAGAAGCTTGAATTCAGACGTTGGAGCCTCAATCACGGATCACGGTACGGGAAAAAATCAATAAACACATCGTAAAAATGAGCCGCGCTCAGGCTTCCCGGTGTATATGTGTGTTTCCGACTTAACAAGTACCCACACGCCGTAAGTGAAAGTCTGTTTGTAATGAGTTTTTAGGTCTCGGGAACAGCCTAGCGGCCGTTGACTGAGTGCGAAGCGCGAGCAGTGCCGAACTCGTGGCTATTTCTGCCGCATCGACGTTCGCGGCGGCAACTTTCCCGTCAACAGAACGGCTAAATGTTCTTCTTTTCTTCTTTTTGAACAACTACGAGCTTTCGAATGGATTCTCAGCAAAGAGGTCCGCGGCTTTGTTGTAGTCTTCGTTCGAAGTTCGTAAGTCTACGCTGTCGCCGGCGTCTGGTCGCCGCTGAGTTCGAAAGTCCGATAGAGCGGCCGAACAAGCAACAGACTAGGAGCTGGCGGAAAACTTCGAAGAAAAGAGCCCAGCCGGCATAGCAAACCGATAATCAGCTATATTTGGTGGACGGAAGCACATCGACCCCACACAGCATAATTCTCGCAATCACGTCTTCAACTTCAGGAACGCTATCTCCGCTTCAAGATTCTCGATATTTGACATCTCGTGGAAGCGCGCGACTCACTCAGCTCGCATTGAGGCAACATGAGGCCACATCGAGTTTCTCGCCTCACTCCCGCCAGACGTTTGCGTTTCTCTCGGAAATTGTGGATTTGTGGACTAGCTGCTTGGTCGACCCTCCGGAGATGGCGATGCCTGAGGTCTCCGACACGAATTGCAGCGCCGAAGATGTCTGGTGGTCTCATATTATGAAGTGGATGAAGCCGTTTCCCTGAGCTGTCGCGAGGAATTCCCTACGATCTTCCCGCGCTTTGACCATTTCAGAGCCGTAACTCGTAAATTTCGCTTTCACTGAAGGACAGCTAAGCCTGCTTATCATGCAGTTCATGCTGCTGCTGGCGGCGGTATAGGTAGCGGAGATATTAGACGATGCCGTCGTCTATAATTCAAAAACTTACGAGCCGTGAACTATTCCGAGAAGACCACTCGGAGCAGCTCGGCATGAAGTCCGGCTAGCTGAGCCAACCTGAATGTATCCGGACGGCTCATAATGACGAAATTATCATTCATTCTTTCTTCCATACGCGCTGAAAGTGAAAGAGTCCACCGTAAACTTTGACTTCCAACCGACTGCATTCGCGTTGTAGGAGCTAGTTTTTTTCTGCTCCATTTTCGTAGAAGTTCTTCTCCCATCTCAGGGTAACTATTAGGACCAAGGTCGTCCTCACGGCGTTCTTTCACAGAGCTTTAGATGATGAGAGGAGCATCGGAGGTAGGTACCGAGAAAATCCTATCCCGTGATCAAAAAGGCGATCTGAGCCATCGTTAGCTTCTTGCTTGTCGAGGTGCTTATGAACGTTACGCAAACACTGAAAAACAAGCCAACAAATACAGACAGGTACTGGAAAGCTTGACAATTGCAGTGCGGCAATCCCGTGAGAACCATTGCGCTTTGATTCGGTAATTTGTGGAAGCGTTTCCAAAACATGCCGAGACTCCAAATGACGCTCGTTTTGCATGTTTATGAGAAACGTTGGGCGAAATGCTGAGTTTGAATCGAACGAGCTACCGGCGAATATCACGCCCATCGTGGCGACGAAGATACTGCCTTGTCGAAGCATGATTTCGGCTGCGGCGGTAGCGGAGTTTTCGGGTTCCCTTTTGTGAGCTGTGACCGGACCACGTCAACAAGTCGCCCGTGATAGACTTGTCGCTCGAGGCGATTGCTCGACTGAAGAATCACAATCGCAATATTGTAGCTCGCGGTCCATGGAGTTTCAACAGAATGATGTCGGATGTCGAATGCCGACGAAGAATGAGAGCCGAGAAAGGAGAGCAAGCCGCGGGCGCATCTTTCTGAAATTCGTCTGACATCTGACTCTTTCAGTCAAAACTTATGATTCATGCGAATTCGGTGCGCGACGAACCTCGCGAACTAATGTTGACGAACGCCGTTGTTCGCATTCTGGAGTCAAGGCGGAGAGTTCACTCGATGATCCGATGGAAATTAAGCGAATCGTTTTCGGTTCGATCAATCATCCCGATCGTGAAATCCGCCAGAAGTCAATCGCCGTACAGTCGGATCGTCATCGCTAGACTTTCTGTTTCGGCTGAGACTAATATCTGCGATAGTTTGTATGAGGACTTCTTCATTCCCCGGGGAAGGAGAGGCGCCGTCACGAGGCAAGAGCTCTCGAAGAATAATGTTCGTGACCGAGAGACGCCCCATCCGGTCTAAATGCGACATTTCTGCTCTACTCTAAATATTTCAAGGCTCGGAGGAATAGTCGATGCGTTATCGATAAGATAAGCTCTCCAGATTTCTTGAAACCGAAGGCTAATTCCGTGCGGAGGAGGTACCTGTCGGTGATATTCCAGACGTACAATGATGCGAGGAAATATTATCCGGCGTGTAGCGTTGTCCTGCGTCGCTCCAATGGAAGCACTGAGAACGACAGTCACACAGCTGAAGCACAGTTCACACGGAAAACACACTTCTCAATGGACCGCAAACGGTGCCTCGGAGCAAGCAAATGCGACTTCATCCGTTCACGTGAGGAAGGGACTAGTCTTCGTTTTTCCCCTTCCCTCTTAGACGGAGCCGCTGTATAACGGTAGCTTCAGACACGGAGGAAGCGGAACGGCTCCTAGGCGAGAGAGAAAGAGAGGAGCATGCGCGATTGAACAAAAGCTTTTGCTTGTTGATTAATCGGAGAATGTTGGGAACAGATGGCGAATATCGGACCTCTTCACATTTTAGTGATAGCCCGATAGATATTCAGGCACGTCTCCCTCGTCCTAACGTGAAGATTCCATTTCCAGAAGGCGATCCGAACCTCGAACCTGCATCCGGAGTCCTCTGAAAGTATTTCCATGAAGACGCTCCCCGATTCCACGCACTGGTCTGACTACTGTCTTATCCATAAGGGATAACAAAAAGGCAGAGCTTCTCTCTGTATGTACTGGAGTGTTCAAACGGGGCAAGTTCCTACATCGAGCGAAAAGATTCTTTCTCTTCCGAGCCTTCGTTCTACATTGCTCTGGGGAAACTCTTTGCTCACTGGGAACCGAATCGACTTGTCGGTATCCGCTCATATTCTCTTGCGGTGTTTCGTTTGTATCGAATGAGATTCCGTTATTCACTTCATTGGCGATTGAATTCAACGAAGACCAGAATGGTAACCAGGCGAGAAGTCCCCAGTCGATATACGAACCTCAAGTCGTGACCCTACGACGAGAACGGGGATTCGGAATTCCAAATGAGAGAATTGAGGATTCAAGAAATCAATATGCTGTCATGTTAGGGGGACAACCGAGGGCTAATGTCACCGCTCCGTGTATTATAAGCGACCTATAGTCCCGCCTCCCCGTAGTTTATTTCAGGAATAAAGAAAAATTAGAGCCGAACGGGAAAGAGGACTGATGAGGGAGGAAAGTGAATGAGTTTCAAGACAACAGCTATTAACACAGACGATCTCTCAGATTATTACTACGGTCGTCAACATGCTGGACTTCCGCAATCACCCATCCCCGAGGCAGAGAAGTTGACAACCGAATCACTGCATCGGGTTTGGAGACCTACGCGAAGAAATATCAGGAGACACCGTGCCTCCAGCCAAGCTCGGAGATTCAAGCTCAGATTATGTACAGGCTCCTGTTCGGGGACAGCCGAAGAGGATACTCTCCAGAGCTCCATCAGGCCCTGATCATTCCGACTTTCACTTCAAGCGATCTCCTTCGGCGTTGCATCCATCTCACAATCGGCGTCTCCTGAAAACTGAAAGCTCCCCGAAAAGACACGGAAAGGATGACACCTGCCACCTGCTGTCACCCCATTCCATTTGACGTGCTCTTCGGTCTACACTCCGTAGCTCCCATTGACGGGGGAAATTCCCCAAGAACGGCGGAATTTGATTTGCTCGGGAGACCACTCTCGAAACCTGATCACGCTGATCACCAGGAACTCGGGGATGTCCTTTCAAAAAGAGGCTTATCTCGTCGGAGCTTAGAGTCACTAAGTGCGTGAAAAATTCCCGACAAAGTGACCTGTCGATGCCTCAGCGATCAGAGGCCGGAAATCTGATCCCTGTCATTAAAAAATTATCAAGAATCACGCTCGGAAACCGGTGTTCTTCGTCCCCTGGGTCGGACGATGCCCCGTGATGAGGATTGTGTTCGGAGCGGAACAACGACAGAGTCAGTCTGGATTGGACATCTCTTCGGGCAGCTCCGGTGGTGAATCCGCATTTTACGGAACGCCTCTAATTGTCCGGTCTGAAATCACGCCCACCACGGTGGAGAGGCAGACATGCGTACAAACGGCCAGTCGACCGACTCGCCTGCCCGATCGTTCCGGGAGCGTCTCCATGTATACTGCGGTAAATGTATTCGACGCCTCGCGTGCGGACTATCGCGCGGACAGTTAATCTGGGTGAATTCCAAGATGCGGACTGAGTTGAATCACCTGAGCGTCAGCAATTCGGATCGGTCAATCTTCGCTTGGATGAAGCGTCGGTTCCAGAAGATATAATCGTGCGCGCAAATCCTGCGCGCTACTGTTCTCGTGGCCATTTGACAGCTCACGTGAATTGTGACATCGCATCGTCCCTTATTGAGCGATCAGCAGTGCTTATAAGGTCATTCTCGTCTACATCAACCGATTACACGGAAAAGTCCATACTATCGGGCACGAGCTCTTCTAGAGTACTGCATTTTCCTTCAAGACGACTCTTCGTCCACCGGACCGTGGCGACTGGCCTTCGTTCTGGATATTTACGTGCTCTGCGAAGTGATGATCTTTCGCAGCGTCAGAAACTGTACGGTTCTTCCGTGGTCTTAATCGGAGAGATCTTCAAGGCTCGCATCCCTGTTGACCGTGCTCGATTCGGCTGACTCCGGATGAATATTCGTTCATGCATCACATAACAATATTTGTTCATGGATTACAGCGTCCAGAAATCATTTCCCGGACTCTGACTCTTATCCCTAGCTAGGGTCCGCTGATTTGTGTCACCAATACTACGTGGTCCCTCTGTTGTTCCCATCGCTGTTTCTAATTTTCTGCCGTGCAGTCAGAAAGTCGGTGCTTGACCTCAGGGGAGACATAAGAACTGTGGTCACGGACGGTTAGACGACGACGGCGATAGGAGAAGAAGTCGACGAATCAACTTGGTGCGAAGAAGTGCGCTTTCGACCATTGGTTTCGATGCGCGAGGGCGTGGGAACGGCTCCTAGCACGTGCATTGTCATCTGCCGAGGAGCGATGATTTCAAGGATGGCTAAGGATTTCAAGTCAAAGGTCTTTTTATTTTTATATTCTACACTCATCAGACACAACAACAGGTATCAGTCCGGTGAGATCCCTGGATCCAATCTGTCTCCTTTCTGTGAGTTTCCGCGCATCTGGTTTTTCCAGTTTCCGATTCCCTGCCGAAGATCTCAGAAACCTCCTTCGATAAGTCACAGAACATGTCAGGCGAGCTCTGACTCAGCGGAATCGCGATTTGTTCCAGAAAGACTTCCCTCCGTCTTTTGCGCTCAGTTTCCCCGCGAATCGCCCTGGGGAGCTTTCGGGTCATACGAGGTAATTATTCGAATGTGATCAATTTCTCGCGGCAAGAATATAACGTGTGTGGGAATCGTCGATGCTTACACGCCGACTAAAGCTCTCGGTAAGTTGTACGGAGTTCTTCCCCTGTGCTTCCATCTACGCTACCCGATGCGCACACCACGAGCACGCTCCTGCTCTCAGGTTGGGGGAAACGCCCGAGTGATGATGACTAGTTCTTCGATGACTCTTGAGGTTTCCAAAATTCAAGGGAAGCTTCGAATGCCCTGTCCAGTGATCTTCGGAAATTCGGGAGATATCTGGGTGTGACATCCGTCAGCTGCAGGTCCTTGGCAACGGGGACCTCTTTCTGATGCCTTGACGTGTTCGCACGTCGACGTGTGGGTATTCTTAACTGACTGTGAACATCGAAGAGTTCCGAATCCGCAAAACACCCGATGGCGATAGTGGCAGAAGAATCGTTTCCGATGTATCGAGCGTCTCAGGTGAGAAGGATGGCGCTTTTCGCGACTCCGCGAGCGATAGCTCCTTGAACCCCCGAAGAAGGAAACGATTGTGAAGATTCTCGCAGCGTCAGACATCTTTGTTCCGCAGGTAATCCTTCTCCGGAAGCAAGGAGTATCATCGGTTTATCATCGCTAGATGGAGAGACCATCGAAGCGGCACCGAAGCCCCCGGGCAGAATGGGGAATCAGGTTTAGAAGCCGGTGATCGAGTCCAATCTCATCCGTCATGTCCTGTACCCCTCTGATCGGACATACCTATATAAGAGGGAGCTTGATCGAGAGCTCCCGATAGACCAAACAAATATGGACGCGATCATATTCGCGGTCTTAGGCTCGACAACATGCTTTGCTCGCAACTATTTCAGGGAACATCTGCCGCAGTTTTGTTCCAGGTGGAATGCTGATTGGAGGCATATACGATTACAAACTTGAAAAGTGTCAGAATAACGAAAAACGCAATGAATTACGACCATTGTCGGACGGGACACACCAGAAGATTCGGCTTCCAGATACCCGTGATGGAGGGTATGAACATAATCCAATTAGAAAGCGCGGAATTAGCTCGTCGAGAGCGCGAACAATTCGGCTACTTGGAGGCCCCTCCGCGCAATCTTCGTGCCGATTTACTCGGGAATAATGTCGGCCTCTATGGCCTTAAGGGACTATTTCTCAGATGACCGAGAACTCACACCAAGAAATATGCCGTAAGCCGATGAGCCCAACTTCTTTTGGAAATCGCGAGATCAGACTACGTTCGGTTCGGATTTATCTTAATCCTCCACGCGGCGAAGCGCTGAGAAAATGTTATTTCTTCACGTTGGGTGTAGTTCCGTGAGCGGACCATTTCGATGGATTTGTGGAAACTGTGGACTTTTCACTTTCTGCAGAATCGTGACCAACAGCAGACCGCGGCTGGTCCGAGAGGGGACGAGCCAGTAAGCGGATGGATCTATTACGCGTTCTCGCGACGACATCGAAACTCTACTTGGCGGAGTTTTTGATCAACGAGCAGAAGACGTCGCGTCGTCGTGACCGAGAATTTGAATCGCATCGACTGGAATCTGATGTCATCCCATCAGACAGCTCCGGAAACTGTCGCTGCGGTGATTACAACGCGTATACAATAATTATTCGTTCGGTCATATTATACAGATACCGCCTCGGCTATGTAAAGTGAACGCAAATAACGTCTTCCACGATTTCTCAGGCGCAGTCATTTTTTCAGGTTGAGCCGTGAAGATCGATCGAACGATCGAATCAGAGCAGGAACATGCGTTGTTTCCCGGTTACTGGTTTCGAAAACTTCATTCTAAAGCTCCACTCCATCTCAATCTGGCAGGAGCCGGAGCGATCATTGCCGGAGCTCCGATCTTGGGTGCATGGATGAAGAGACACATGTACTAGGGACGCTGAGCGAAAAGCCGATCGATATGCCGAAAAGAATGTTGTAAGTGTTAGAGTGTCGGAGT